CTAGGGGAAGACCTAGGACACGCTGGAGCGACTACGTCGCTCGGCTGGCCTGGGAACGCCTTGGGGTCCCCCCAGAAGAGCTAGAGGAAGTGTCGAGGGAGAGGGAAGTCTGGGTGTCCCTGCTCAGACTGTTGCCTCCGCGACCCGGCCCCGGATAAGCGGTTGAAGATGGATGGATGGATGGATGGATGGATCAACGTTTGTTTCCACTTCCTCTACCTAAAGTTTAAAAAGTGCCTGCACATGCACAAAAAATGGACTCAAATGTGTAACAGTTCCTCTGGCCTCTCAGCAGCTCTAGAAGACCAGAACCTTTAGTCAGCTTTGTCAGCTCCTCTGTCGCTGCGCCCCCTCTTCATGACACTGTGGAGAGGGTTCAAGTGTGTGTCAGCACATTTAAGTGGAAGCTTGATCACACTTCTTGTCATATGTTTACAAAAGTGCAGCAAGGACAATAATTACCACACAAAACAACAACGTCATACAGCATTACCTTTAAACTGAAACTTTTTTTTTACAAAAGTCTAAAAATGTTTCGTCACGTTATCCTGAAAATCATGTCATAATGACACTGAAAAAAATTAAGAGAAATAGACGTCTTTGTTTGGAATCAGCTCCAAGTCTGGACTATGTTAGAAATGTGTTTTTAAATAACAAGAATCCTGTATAATCCCATAAAGAATATCCTGGTACAGAAGGAAAAACAGATGTTGAACAGCAGCTGGCCCTCAACCATGTTTACTTCCATAAGTAAGCAGTAAAAAATAAAATATTGTTCTGTGTATGACCCTGTGTAGCTTTGGATGTTACAGGTAACATTTCCACAGAGATGATAGTTTCTTATTTGAGCAGCTACTTTGGTAAATCCACAAGCTGAAAACATATGCCTGGACTGTTGCGTCACGTCTGGGTAGGTGGTGTACGTTACCCTGGAGCTAAAATCAATTAAACACACACATTCATCTTTGTCGCTGCTCTGCAAACCACGTTAGAGCCGACTGTTCTTGGCTCCATCACTGCGTCCACAGCGTCAACACTACCTCATCTGACCCGACATTCTTATGACGCCTCATTTCCACCTCCTGTTACCGCTACTGATATACATGTATCCACGTCCACTTCTGTTTATATTTGTGTTCCAGTGTTTTGAATTGCTTTCCTTAATTCTGTACTTGTTTGTGTGGGTGTGTTTTCATAACCAGATGCTCTCATATCCATTTACTGTTTAAAAAAAAACTAACTAATTTATCGACATCACTTGTTGTCATGGATATTATCGTTTCGCTGTTTTAATAAAAGACAGATCCTGTTGCCGTGCAGTGTGAAAATAACGAACATGTAAATTTTCAGTGGTATAGGAGTAGCATATACTGGTACACAAGCCTAGAGTGCCCTCAGTGTGTGTGGAGAAAACCAGGCACTGCTCATCACCTGCCCAATACAATCCCAACAGTGAAACATGGTGGTGGCAGCATCATGCTATGGGGGTGTTTTTCAGCTGCAGGGACAGGACGACTGGTTGCAATTGAAGGAAAGATGAATGCGGCCAAGTACAGAGATATCCTGGAAGAAAACCAGAGTGCTCAGGACCTCAGACTGGGCCAAAGGTTCACCTTCCAACAAGACAATGACCCTAAGCACACAGCTAAAATGCCCTGACCTAAACCCAATTGAGCATCTCTGGAGAGACCTGAAAATGGCTGTCCACCAATATTCACCATCCAACCTGACGGAACTGGAGAGGATCTGCAAGGAAGAATGGCAGAGGATCCCCAAATCCAGGTGTGAAAAACTTGTTGCATCATTCCCAAGAAGACTCATGACTGTACTAGCTCAAAAGGGTGCTTCTACTCAACACTGAGCAAAGCGTGTGAATACTTATGACCATGTGATATTTCAGTTTTTCTTTTTTAATAAATTTGCAAAAAATTCTCGTGGCGCTTTGGCCCAGAGGCAATGTCTCTGTCATTGGTGTGGAACCCCAGGGTTCACCTCCTGGGTAAGTTCGAATCCTGGTTAGGGTGGTTGGTACCTTCCAGTGGACTCACCACCTGCAGGAAGGTTTGGTACGGTGCACTGTGATTTGGGTGGCGACTGCTGCCCCTGCGACCTGGTTACGGATAAGTGGATGAAAATGGATGGAAAAATTTCTACGTTTCTGTTTTTTTCTGTCAAGATGGGGTGCTGAGTGTACATTAATGAGAAATAAAATGAAGTTTTTTGATTTTAGCAAATGGCTGCAATGAAACAAAGAGTGACAAATTTAAAGGGGTCTGAATACTTTCCGTATCCACTGTACATAAGGCACACCAGGTTATAAAGCACACTGTCGTTTTTTGAGAAAAATCAAGGCTTTTAAGTGCGCCTTATAGTGCGGAAAATACGGTAATTGTACTTTTTCCAACGCTTTACATTTTTGCCAATAATGTAGTTGATGCTGCCATTTCTATTATTAAACTTAGTCAACTGACCTTTGACTAGGACACCTTCCTGTTTCCGGTTTCTTCTCTTCAGCCGCCTCGTCCACCGTCGGCCTCACCACCGGCCTCACCGCCGCTCCTGACTCTGCCCTGAATTACACCGTCAACTCCATTGTTTTTAGGCCGTAAGGTGAACCACGGTTCGACACGCGATCGTGCTACACCAATCGAGTAGCTGGTTGATGTCAACACTTCCGGCAACACGGCTTCCTCCGTGGTTCTACTTAACGTTACTGATAGAGAGGAATTCTCCCAAAAGTATTCTAAAGTGGGCCAAAGGGATTCTAAACAGTGCTTTATACATAGCCGCCTGCACGAAGAACAATGAGGGAAATAGACGATAAGGTGAACTTTGTATGTTAAGTCATTTTGATCAATAAAAGAAAGTAATCAATGACAAGGACCATTTGTTTATTCATTCGTTCATTTATTCGCAACACTGTATGCAACACTGACCAATCATAAAGAAAACTTTATTAAAACATATATACATACAGTATGCACAATATATAAAACAATACAAAACAGCATAAGAAAATGAATGGTAATGCAACCACTGCTATATAACTCTGAGGCTACACATGAAATGTTAGTCTTCACTGTCAGTGTCAGGGCAGTTGTCATCCTCCTCTCGATTTTTTCCGAGATCGTGTAGTTCCCAGACGTCGGAGCGAGATGAAATGATAATCGGGTTTACCTTATTGCCTGTGACACAAACAAATAAAGAAGCTTCACATATCGTCGGATTAAAGAATATATATATATATTATATATTATATATAATATATATTATATTATATATATATAGAAGGATTTTAAATCATGTTATATGTTTGTTGCAACAGCCTTATTAGCTACCTCATATGGCAACATTCATAAGGATAGTGTGAAAGTTTAATCAGTAGGTCCCTTAAGGACAAAGAGATTAGAGAGTGGAGGAAATGTATGTCTCAGTGTGCTTACTACAGTGTTTATTCTATAACCTAGGGGGCACACTTGAGTCACTGAAAAGGGAGCATCTTGCTTAGTAATCAGAAGCAACATCCTGCAAACTGCTGCGATGGCAAATAACTGTGAAGACGACGAAAACAAGTCCTTAAAAGGAAAACACTTGAACAAAGAGATTAGCCCTCATGTGACTCAGGAGTGCACCCTAGGTACGTTTACAACATGTAAGTTCTATGAGCGTGCATGTGCTGCCGGAACTGCCCCGACAGCATATAAGCAAGCAAAGCGAGAAGGGGGTCATTCTTCCTCTCCAGATCGTCTCTGAAGGTGGTAAGAAACCAGAGTTCTGTTTGTCTTATTTTACTTCAATAAAGCTTTTATTTTTGAGCTACCGTCTCATCCTTCCTCATCAACGAATTCGGGGGAACGCACGGGAGAAGTGTCGTCCCGGCAATATATATTAGAGAGTTATGTACTAAATTGTTTTAAAAAAAGTTCACTACAAATGTTTTAGGTCACTATAGTTTCTGATTACACTCTTTTATGCACCTTGTTGCTACTTCACTAGTCTGGATTATGTTCATACTTCAGGTTCATAGTCAACATTCTCACTCGAACCATATTTAGAAGGTTTTTTTTTACATCTGTGCACCATTTTGACTCGATAGATTTCAGACTTTTTTTTACAGATGTTATTTTCCTGTGCCTTTTTAAACATTTGACAGACCTAATTAAATGTCTCGCTCCAATGATTTGAATGTGTGCCTTAAACTGACAATATTTTTAATAACGCCTGAAACATCAACTGCCTTCCAGTCAACAACGGATGATTTAATTGATATGCTACTGAAAAAGTTAAGGTTTAAAAAAAAGAAAATTGGCCAAAAAATAAGTCACTCAAAATATCAGTGAACTACGTGACTGGCCAATTGCATTGTCTGTATTAGTAAATGATTTTTAGTTTGTAGGTTAAAGTTCAAAGTTTCCAGTGTATGGCTGAAGTGTATCCAAATGTGGCTCAACTTTGACTTTATTTTTGTACCGGAATAACTAAAGTCAGCCAAGAAATGCCACCAATTATAATAAATAATAATGCCTAAAACTTAGGCTAAAATTCTTCAGTTTACTTTGACAAAGTTAGAGATTACAAACAATTGAAGATTTTTTACCAGAAACTTCCTGACAAATCCCAACAGGTCATGCATTGGGTTACTTTATAAAGAACAGAGAACATGTGAAATTGAACTGAAAGATGACAAAAGAATTTTAACCTAAAAGTGCTACAGTGTTAGACAAATGCTAAGAGCTTGAAACACTGTTGTGAAATTTAAAATTCACAGCGAAACTCCCTCCATCACAACAAACGGAACTCAAGTAAATTCAAGAACAAAACTAAAGTAATTTCTCATTGGCCACACTTCACAACGGCACAGGTTTGTTTTTGTTTTTTTAGTGTTTTATGAGAATGAACTTCTTGCTTTGAAAGTGTTTATTCCTTTTGTGTTTGAATAAAACAACAACAAATGTCCTTTGGGTCCTCTGAGATTACCTGGCTACATGTTTTGTAGTGATGGAGTGTAAATGTGAGCCCGGGAACAACAATATAAAACAGACTAAGAAAATTACATGTATTTTCTTTCTGCTGCGCTGTGGGAACATTCATTGAATTCAGCCCCATCTGTTGTAATCAATAACGTGACCATCTTGTTTTTTTATTATGAAACGCACTTACTCATCAAACTTAATTTCATCCACCAGTGGCTTTAGAGAGAAGAATGTGGATTTACCTATTCAGCTTTTACATTATAAATCACCTCTTGAGCCCAGATTGTACAGCAGTATCGATTGATCCTGATATATCACAGAAATTTACTGGCACTTCTATTTTCAATTAAAGATACAATCAGTCAGATAATTACTTAATTGGATTTTACAGAAGATTGAGTTTTTTTGCCAAGTGCTTTACGAGTTTAGTTATTATTGGTCAGACGGTCACCGTTTGATCATTTGACACGAGCTCCTTGTTGAAAAAATACTAAATACGCTCAGAAGTTACTGCAATGACCATGCGATACAAAAAATGGTTTAAAAAATGATACTGTTTTTGTTTGGAAGTCATTCTTCACTGTAAGAAATGTTCGTAAAAGTGACAGTAAAAAACCAACAGTAAAAGACTGTAAAATTGAAAACAGTATATCAGTGTACTAGATACATGGAATTACACTAAATTAATTAAAATTAAACGGTGTTAAACTTTAATTTTTACAGTGACAATATGTAAAACACACACCGTTCTACTGTGGAAAATATAATACTTTGATAAAATTAACAGGGAAATACTGTAATGTCACAAATATGTAATTACACTAAAATTAACAGTGTTATGATATTTAAATTACAGAGTTTTCTGATC